AATAAAATAAACATTTTTTTTTCAATTTTACTATACTAATTTATTTAATTATTGTATATATAAGCAATTGTATACATCAAAATTCATATAAAATTAAAATTTTAAGTTTTTTTTTTCAATTTTTTTAAATAAATAGGCAAAAATAGCTTTGGCACGGTCCATGGCCCACAAGCTAGCCCGGCTTGCGGCACAACACGGGCCCACATGGACCTGGGCTGTGGGCCGTGCCGAGCCAACCCCCAAAATTTTCACCGGGGAGGGTGATGGCCTGCGGGCCGCCTACGGGCCGTGCCATTACACCTCTACTGATTGGATGTGCTTACAATACTGTGTCTATTAGAGCAAGAGAGGCACATAACCTACCATCAATTGGTAGCCTATGGAACCAAAGACCTTTTGTCAAACAAGTTTGTTTATATACATGTATGGGTTAAATGAATGTCAAAAGTTTGCAAGATGCCAATTGTTTGTTTTTTTTTACCCAATGACAAAGTGATGCTTAATCTGGCTCTGGCCTTGAGTAGACCTGTTCATGGGCTAGGCCGGGCTTTGTATATGTATCAAGAGAATACACTCGGGCCCGAGCCCGACCATTGGGCCTAAGTCTTAAGCCCGAAGCCCGAGCCCAACCAGAAATTTGAAAACATAATTTTTTTCTTTTCTTATTCAATAAAAAAGTGTTTTATTTATATTAAAAACCTTTAAAACTCAAAAATAATAAATATCTCACTATTACTTAGAAAAAAGAGAAGATGAACAAAGAAAAAATATCATATATATATTTTATTAAATAAAATATTTATTATTATTTAATATATTGTATCAAGTTGGGCTCGAGCTTAGACTGGGCTTTTTTGACAAAGCCCGAGCTTGGCTCGAAAAAAAGTCGGGCCCAGTGCTTTAGGTTCGAGCCCGAGCCCGCAGGCCTAAAATTATGACTAAGCCTGACTTAATAATGGGCTGGGCTAGGCCAGCCCATTGGGCTACCTGGCCCATGAACAGGTCTAGCCTTGAGTCACAACTCCGATAAAACAAAGACATAGGGGTGTTCAAATTCGGTTGATAAATCGTAAATTGAATAAGCTAGTTCGGTTCGATTAATTTGGATATCAGTTTGGTTCAGTTTTTGTTTCTTTAAAAATTCAGTTTTCAGTTTTGTTTYGATTTAGTTGATCTTTTCAATCGAAAACCGAATTAGTGGTTGTTTTCAATACTTTATACTTAAATAACTATTTAAATATAATAGTTAATTAAATAGCCTAAAGACTTTAAACAACTAGAGTATTAAAATCTAGACTAATTATTAATTATTCATTAATGGTTTGTGAATAATGAATGTAGTTTCTTTAACAATTAGTCATTGAACTATTCATTAAGGCTATGTTTGGTTTGAAGGAAAAAGGAAAGGAAAAGTAAGGAAAGTCTTACATATTCTGCATAGGTTTTCCTACCTTTCCCTTCTTTCCCTACCTTTTCCTTCAAACCAAACATTGCCTAAATGACTATAGTTGTATTAATTATTCATTAAAACCTAGACTAAAGATTAATATCTAATTGTTCATTAATCATTAAAACTGAACCAAAAAACAAACTGAACTAAATTCGGTTAGGGTCGGTTCGTTTTAAATTGTAGTCCAATTAGGTTCGACTAGGAGAGATGGTCAAACCGAATAATTGGTTAGGTCTTTGGTTCTAATCGAACCAAACTGAACTGACAGATTGTACACCCCTACAAAGACCTTAGGAACCCATAGAAGTGTAAATCTGGCAATGCCGCCCACGGCCTGGCACAGCCCAACCCGATTTTGGACTGGCCCAGCATGGCTTGGCACGACAGCACACATGTCGTGCTAGGTCTAGCACGATGGTCTAGGTCATGCTAGGCCTGGGGTTCGAAGTCCACAGGTTGGCACGACACAACACGGGTCGGAACGACACAACCCGTGAGCTCGTAGCGGGCCGAGCGCGGCCCGCCCGAGAACTAGTTGTTGGGGACTCCCCCTCCCCACACTATAAATAGATATATAGGGGGTATTTATGCATTTTGGTTATGGGGGAGAAAAATGACACAAATGCCCCCCAACAACTATATAACAGCTAGTTTAGGGGGGCATTTTGGGTAAAGTGATAAATAACTTTACAATAGTTGTATAGCATTTTTTTCAAATTATTGTAAATTTTGTTTTAATTTTATTTCATTTATTTGCTATTTTTTTAATAATGTGATTTTGTATTTTCAATTTGTAAGTATATTGTATTTTTCATATTTTATTAATTTATTCCATTTTCGAATTTTCATATTTCATTCATCCAAGTATCCAACCATTGTATGCTTTGTAATTTGTATCGTTCGAATTTAAATAAAATAAAATTCCTATTTTTCTTCCAATTTGTCATTCCATTCTTATTTGGTTAAGTATATTTTTTCATTTATTTGTTAGATTTCACATTTCTTATATTTTTCAAATAATTCCCAAAGGAAAGTTAAATATTTTAGTTTTACTTAGCAAAGAAATAAAAAAACAAAAAATGTCAAAAAAAAACAAAAAAAGTAAAAAATTAGTTTGGCCCAGTTCGGCCCACGCCCAAGGCCCGACTTGTGGCCCATCCCGGCACGGCCTAGAGCCCACTCGGCCCAGGCCCGCGACGTGGCACAACAAAGCATGGCATGGGCCCTCATAGGCTTGGACTGTGGGCCATGCCGGGCTAACCCCCCAAGTTATCCCAAGGGAAGGTAGCATGGCCCATGGGCCGGCACAGCCCGGCCTACACTTTGTGTAGGCCACCCATGGGCCGTGCCATGCCAACCTGTTTTACACCTCTAGGAACCCAACCAAAAAGCAGAGGTGAATTTCTTTGAAACTGCTTATTATGGGGTCATAGGTAGACATATTCATGGGCCGGGCTCGGGCTTAGCTTTTGCCAAATTTTAAATGGGGCTTGGCTTGAAGCCCGAGGCCGACACAATATAAGTCAGGCCCAAAGCCCGGCCCGTGAACAGGTCTAGTCATAGGCCATGTATTGTTGAGAAAAGTATGGACAAGAAAGAAAAATTTAGAGACCAATGGCATTTAATTTGCTATTGCCTTAACCATAAATCTTGAAAATCAAGGAATAGATTCTTAGCCATTATTAGAGACTAGAGAATATGATAAAAAGAAGATATGAATTAGAACAAGAGATGCTATTATTTTCTCAATTCTCTATTGAAGGATTTTTCCCTTGGTGAACTTATGGCTGTTTGAAGGGTGTTTTTGGCATGTTTTTCTCCCTGCTCAGCTGACGTTTTCTTGGGCATACATACGATGATGCATCTGATTGCTATTCTTGCTATTGGTTTCTTTTTATTTTCTATAAATCAGTTCATCCTTCTTTTATATGATTACCTTTATGTTTGTGCTATATGAGTTGAATGGAAATATCTTTTGGCTAGGGATGGCAATTTTCCCCATTCCCCCGATCCCCRTGGGGATCCGCCCCGAATGGGGCAGGGATGGGGATGATTTCCCCCCCGTGGGGATGGGGATGGGGAAATTTTCATCCCCATTAGCGGGGACAGGGAGAGCACTCCCCGCCCGTGGGATCCCCACTAATATATATGTATGTATATGTTATATATGTACACATACGTCTATATATTAATGTTTTAAAAATATGTTTAAATATGTTTGAATCCTTTTTAATAGATTGTAAATTTTAATTATTTTATTTTTATTTTTAAATAAAATAAAAAAAAACAAAATTATTAATATTATAAAAAATTACGGGGAATGGGGATCCCCGTCGGGATGGGGATGGGGATAACCTTGTCCCCGTTAGCGGGGATGGGGATTTTCGCGGGGACGGGGATGCTCCCCATCCCCGCCCCGCCCCATTGCCATTCCTACTTTTGGCTTAAAAAGGGTCGTTTAGTTAAACACCTCCTATAGTTTCACATGTTTACTAAAACCTACCCTCTTATTTGTGGGAAAATCATAAGTACAGTCTACTTATCCCTTACTAAAATACCTTCTATAGTTTGCAACTGTTTTAATTGATCCTCCATTGGGAATGGTTTTGTACAAAAACAAAAACAAATAAAATAAAAAGTCTAGCATCACCCTTTTTAGTAGGTGTTTGGCATTAATGTTGTTTTTTCAAAAATCGGCACCACATCAGTGTCACATCTGAAATCCATTTTTTTAGAAAATGCCTGATATTTGCTTAGCCTCTTTTACGAAAAACATTTTCTCAAACCATGCCTAGAAAATCGGGAAAGGTGTGATATGAAAAACGCTCTTTTTGGTATTTTCTCATTTTTTTTCTACTGTTGCTAGCAACAGTATGCCGATATGACATTGAAAAATGCTTGTGGCAGCAACTAGTGGTACCAAATAGGAAACTTGAAAAAAAAGCGTTTTTTGAGAAAACAACTACCTATGCAGCACCATTTTCTGAGAAAATGCCTCTCAGGAAACAGCATTAATTCCAAAAAACGCCATAGAAATAATTCTCCCAATATTATTTTATTCTAAAAATAAAACAAAAGTAATAAGAAACCAAAAAAAAAATGAAACTAAAGGAAGACAGATTTAGATTTAGGGTTGCATTTTAATTGATGCAATTTCAGTGAAAGTATGGCCTTTAAAGGATGATAAATTCAGCTTTGCAAATGCATTCAATTCAAATGCATGGGATATCTCCGAATGCAAATTTCATCAACAACATCATTATCATCTAAGCCTTGTCCAGTTATATGGGGTCGGCTACTTGAATCTTATTTTGCCATTTCATTCTATTCCCATTGTTAAACTATGGGCGCAAGTTCTTTTCGATCTGTCTGCCCCTAACTCTTCTGGCCCCTTTTCAACTTATAACATATGACTTTTTCTGATAGATTCAAATTTAGTATATTAATAATTATATTTGAATCGACTCTTTATCCATCAGATATGGATCAGATTTGATATTAATACCATTAATAAATTAAACTAATTAAAAACGATCAAAATACAGCGGAATAAAATGAACTGAAGATAATTTTGATAGTGAGAGATCAGTTTGATCCATCAGTCTGTAGAAAAAAAGCAATCAAATAACCAATTTCACTTACAAAATACTTTCCAGATCATATTCTATACATTGTGAATAATGCAACTGAAATAAATTTTGTATCTGCCATGCAAAAATGACTTTTTTTTTTCTTTCTCTTTTTTCTAGTAAAACTGGAAATACTCTATGACCACCCCAAAGCATAGTTGAAAACGTAAACCAACACCAAAGAGAATGGGTACATAAGATATGCCATAAAGCATGTCCATAGCGGGAAGGTTGAGCGGAAACTAGCAAAGAGACCCATCACAGTGCAAACCACAAGAACAACTAGTGCTTCTGTTGAGAAATCCCATGTTAAGCCACGGAAAAAGATGAGGCATAGAAGAACAGATAACCCAAGGATATTATTCATGAAAACTCCACCATAAATCTGCAAAATTAACTCAACATTTTAGAACCTCAGCCACTTATTCAGATTAGGTGTTTGAAATTTATTCTTTAAGAAACAGTTTAACATTTGAACCACTAAATCAAACAGTAAGGCTCAGTTTGGAAGGAGTACAAATACTAATATGTAGAGTGCAAAACATTGTATTTTATATTATTCTGTATGTATTTGCACCATACATATTTGTATTTGTACTCCTTTCAAACTGAGCCTAAGGTATTGATGCATTTCCATTATATATACATTTATTAATGCATATTTTTGGGCTTAGGTTTAGTCGAGTATGCAGGGCCATAACCAAAACCCAATCCAAGCTTAGGGGAGGAGAGATGGGGGTTTCATCCCAAGACAAACCTTAGGTCGGTTTCAGCCGGGGGGGGGGGGGATTGGGCCATGTTTGGGTTTGGGTTGGCCTAACTTAACTCCAAAAAGGTTAGATCGTTTAATTATTTTCTACAAAAATGCAATTTTTTCCCTGAAAACTGACGAATAGGGATTGCAATGGGTGAGGTGCAGCAGGGCTCTGGTCATTTCAACCCATCCAGGTTGAACTTGACCACCTATACAGAGAGAAAAAGAAAATGAATTCCTCCTTAAGGCTGTGTTTGGTTTGTCTACTTTTCTTTCAAACCAAACACAGCCTAAATGTATGGATATATAGACTAAAAACAGAGATGAGACCATTGCTTGGTGTGATGATAAAATCTCTGGCTGAGAACATGGAGACTGGGGGTCTGGCCACTTTATGCAAAAAAATGCCAAAGGTTAGGTTGTATCCAGTCCGCCTCTCCCAAGACCCCAGATAGATAAACTAACATTTGATAATCTCCCTTTTATATAACATAAAACAGAGAATCAGAGGCAGTTATTTGTCCTGGATTAAAAGTGATACTAAGGCTAAGTTTGGAAGGAGTACAAATTCAAATATGTACACTCGGTTTGGAAAGAGTACAAATACAAATATGTACAGCGCAAAACCTTGTATTTTGTATTATTTTGTATGTATTTATACTGTACATATTTGAATTTGTACTGCTTCCAAACTGAGTCTAATGCATTTTGTCTCCATTCTCAACTTGAAATTGATTATATTTGTATTGCCTTCATTTTTTCATCAAAAAGAACAAAGAAAATGATACTAATGCAATTACAAGAATGTATACAAGTGTCTTAAATATAAAAGGGATATATAGTTACCTAAGACATAGCCAAGTATATGTATCCTGAATTAGAATGCGACTCTAATGCAATTAAAGGCCATTACCCACTTGCAGATATCTGGGGTCTTGGGAGGGGTAGACTGGAACTGGATAGGTCCTAACCTTTGGCATTTTTTGCTCAAAGTATCTGCTCTCAGACTTGAACCTTCATTTCTGGCACTTATAACCCGATCTGGGTGACCCAATTGATTCAAGCCCTTTTTCCCCTTTACTAATAAACATGTAGTATAGAGGTGGTTGATTTATTTGGTGCCTTGGAGTATTTGAAAAAAATCACCAAGCATTTTCAATGACATCTATTTCTGGATATTTTGTTATAATGTTCAACAGAAATGAAATATACAGAATGAGTTAGATTTTCTCATAATTTAGTTTAGGTGTTGGTCATCAACAATCAGTGTACAGTGCATGATTTTCAGTTTAATTGGAAATATTTGTGGGTTTTAATAGTCTTATGAAAATATGATTTTATTGATTCATGGACAATTCTACACATAATTGTGTATCTACACATCTGTGTGTGTGTGAAGAGAGAGAGAGAGAGAGAGAGAGAGAGAGAGAGAGAGACCTCAGAAAATGTCCAAGAAGTAGTAGTCGACTTCTTTCTACTTGCAGAGATAATTCTTGATGCTGCTTCTCTAGAGTTAGTTGCCAGAGGAACCATAACAAAAGATACAAAGAAAGAAGGTATATTTGCACTGCTGGAGAAATTTTGGACACTCTCTATAAGAGGTTCTGCGAGTAAAGATAATATGGTGATTCCCAGCAGTAACAAGAGCACAGCTTTTATGCGAATCCATGGATGATCTACAGTTCCTAGGTCCAGTCTATCCTTAGAAGCAAAACCTTGCTTATGAAGTTTATGCTCACTAAGCCATCTTTCAATTCCTCCAATAAACTCCTCCTCACTAATATTGTGATCATGGTTTGTGTCAAGTTCTTCAAATAATTCTTTTACTAGACCATCCTTGTCTACCTGTATCTTCCCAAACTTGACACCAAAGATTAATTCTTTCAATTCACTCTGTGTAATACAATTATCTCCATCTTGATCAAATTTCTTAAACAACCTGTAATTTAATGAATGATCAAACAATCAGGTGATACACTACCAGCAAAAGCTTGGAAAATAATGAATAAAAAGTAAAACTAACCCTTTTATAATAGGAAGATTAGGTGCCCCATCACTTTTGAGGAGTCTTTCAGCTGCAATGCTATTAAGGTGTGCTAAAATCATTGCTGTCAATTTTCTCTTCCGAATCAAAGGTTTAAAAACCTATATAAATATTTAAATTGATTAATATATAAAATTAAAAGATAAAATAATTGAATGAAATAGTGAGAATTTTACAAACTCTATTTGATAAGTTTCTATTGACATTAATTCTATTGGTTAACTGCAAGGTAAATAAGAGTACTATATATCATCAATGGGTTATTACAAAAGCAATTTACAGTGTTCAGCCTATGGTACTCATTTTGTTTGATTCCCAGTAACAGAAAGCATCTGAAGCTCTGGTAATTGATCTATATTACTAATAAAGCATAAACATTTTAACTGGGTTAAAATAGAGATGAGATGAAATAGTAATTGCACTTTACATCTGGGGAAGCTATTCCATGGGATTAGTTACCTTGTATAAGTCCTCTGAAGATTTTAGCTGATGTGGAGCTTGGTTCCCAATTATATCCTTAGCCTCAGAAAGCCATTTCACAAGTCCATTGACAAATTCATCCATGGTAATCTTATGATCATCATCTGTATCAAACTCATTAATGACTTCTGCAATTGCATCATCCTTGTCTACATTTATCCTTCCAAATTTGATTTCTTTGATCATTTCCCTTAACTCAGGATATGATATATAACTATCTGCATCTAGATCAATTTTCTCAAATAGCCTGTAATTGAAAACACAAAACATTGGTCAACTAAAATACTTTCAAACCTTTAACTGTGGTGGTTTATGAGAAATGCCAAGGGTATATAAGTTTCTTTTTCTTTTTTTTTTCCTTGTACTGCTTACAATAATCCATTATATGCCGTACATTCAGATGTTTATAGGCTCATTGCATTCCTTATTTTAAGGACTTGTCTCCTTTTTGCAGTTAAAATGCCCTTATGAACATTGAGTTTTTAACTGTAAAAAGGAGATAAGTCCTTAAAATAAGGAATGCCAAATGCAGCCTTAGTAGTCTAAATGGATCTCACCAGCTCAATGCTCTGTATGCAGTGTATGATGCATTTGTATTAAGTAGTGCATGCAGGACAGAAACTGTTCTTAATATTTCTCATAGTTTCTATTAAATCTAACCTTTTTATTGCACTTGTATTTGGTGTTCCATCATCTGCAAGGAGCTTCTCTAATGCTTGATTTTCGACATGTTTTAAAATTTGTAGTCTCATGTGCTCATGCTTCACATAGTTTAGGCTTCTCTCTTGAATCCAAGGTCGAAATAACTGCATAAATGTTTAAGAGAATTCTATTAGAATATAACATGGCATTATATAGTTAAGTATCAGAAACCAATATCTTGAAATTAAATATGTTAAATGGGAATAGTAGAAGGTAAATTTATATTAAATGCTAGAACGTATGTGTTTTTCTGATCTTCTTAGTTATTTTTGACTTAATAAGCATTTGAAACTAGTGCCGTTTAAACATCTTAAGAAATAACTTTGGAAACATTAAGTATATGTTTGGCATCGATGCTGCAGGTGCTGCTGATGTGTGTGTTCTCAGCACCGTTCTCAGCATCGATGCTGCCCGGTAGGACGTTTYCTGAAGCAACAACAACTTTTTATGTTTGGTACCAATCCTCCAGGAAACATTTTCAGCACTGGTACCCATTATCCAGTGCCACATCACTGCCACCTCACATCCCTGTTGGCAGCAACAAGCTGCAGCTCCAGGAAACACCAAATTCGGCATGCTCCAAGCCATGCCTTCTCGATTTCCAAGCCATGCCTTCTCGATTTCCAAGGCATGGCTTTGAGCACCATTTTTTTATGGAAAAACGGTTCCAAACAAATGCCCGTTTCCTGGAGCACCATTTTTCYGACATGGCGCTAATGTGACAACGACGCCAAACAGACGGTAAGTGGTTTTGGATAGAGAGAATAAAAGAAAACTTGAAGTAAGTTGGTATAGAAATCTAGGAAATCAAGCTCCCTCTAAAGTTAGCATTTTCTAAAAKCTTCTCAATGGTGCTATTCAAGTAGATATGGTGGAACTAATTAAATTTAAATTCATGGCTTTCCTTTAGCTAGTATTGA